TGGGAAGAGCCAGCATAGCCCTTATTTCACGCACAGATCCGAGGGGCGTATGCCCCCCATGCTTCCCCCAGGGGTGTGTGCAGTGGCCAGGAGCTGCCCCCGCCAAACCCCTCATGTCCTTTGGATGACCCACCCACAGCTCCATCCCATGCCCTGCCCTGCCCCAGCCCTAATCTCTCCTTCACTGTGGGGGCCTCAGTCTGACCCTTCGTGCCTCTCCCTCCACAGACTTACTGGCTGGATGCTGCACTCATGGACGTGTGCATGCTGCAGCTTCGCTCATGCACGTGTAATTTATTCATGACATTATTAGCCACATTGGCCAAAAAAAGCCGGTTGCCGGGAAGCTCAATTTTCCTTTCATTGGTGCTGATATGATATTAACCAATATGCACCTCTAGTTTATACAGTATGGACTGGAAGGTTGTGAACTTGATCAGTGGGTTAAAAGGTCTTGCATCTTGCACAAGACATTGATCCATTCCCCGCTAGGTGCTGCTGTGTCTGCTTCCCTCCCGGAGACTTGAGGGAGGGGACTGATGCCCATTAGTTTGTCTAAGTCTATCTCAACCATGCAGTTGGTCCAATGACGTTTACGGGCCACAAGAATTCTTGCCTCGCATATTTCCTGGACCATCATGGCAACAATATCACTTCAACACTAATATTTAAAGTGTTGGTGTTTATGGATATGCCATGCAAAATTCTTAAGAAAAAGTGCCCCCAGCCCCCTTTTTTTTAAATCTTCATTTTGAAGTTGACAAGACAAATGTCATGTGAATTTGACTGGATGCTTCTGACTGTACCTGTTCTTTTCCAGGAACATGTTTGACAAACCAAACAAAGATGCACTTCATTTGGTTGCACACTTCTTGTTTACTAAACTGGATCATTCACGCGCAGCAGAGGCTTTCAGGTATGCAGGATCAAGGACAATGCTGAATATATTTTCAATAATTGCTTATTTAATGACTGTGGGAGTGGTAGTCTTACAAAGTTGTCATATGTGACGGGTTTTTTTCCTTCTGAGCTCTATTTTATGCAGTTTTGTGATGTACAGTTTACCTGCCTCCTAAAATGTTCTGATGGTGGTAATATTTGGCTAATTTTGGGGAAAAGTTTCTTAGAAGATCAGCAGCAACACTTTGTATACCAGTGTGATGTACATTTCTTTCCCTCATGAATTTTCAAGCTTCAAAGATTGGATAGGCTAGAGCTTCTTAGTGAAAATGCTTGTAAGGCTCTTTTAACATGGGCCAAAGATATATTCTTTAATTTTATTCTACAATAGCTGAACACTTTCAACTGAAGCCTTCGAACAAATTTAGTCTGGGACAAACACCTCACATGGAGAAATTCAGTTCAAATGGTTTTGTAAGCAAATAGAAACTGGATCTTTTAGAAGGAGGTATCAACCTAATGTGTGAGTGGCACTACTCCCTCTAAAAAGAGTTAACTGAACCTTTATAGCAAGCAAAAAAAAATCCCCAAACCACAAAGTGTGAGTGACTTAATGTGCTTTTAGCTCCCCTGGCATCATATGTAGAGTTTGAATGCTATTACTGTTCTCCTCCCTTATCAGACTTTGTTGAAGGAAGCATCTCTACAGACCTTCTTATTGCTCAGTTACATAACAACATAATATGTATCAGTATGGTATGAAAATGTACTAGAATGGACTCTCTTTGCTTGCTTTTGGAATGTAAAGGTTTTGTTGCCCTCCAGCAGACAAAAAGGGAGATGCAGAATTCAGGAAGAAATGCTGTGAATGGCTAAAAGAAATTTCAGTAAGTATTGGAAAGGATAAAGTGGATTGTTGTAATAGGTTCTTGTCTTTAGAATCAACAAGATGCATTCTTTGACGACAGATAACTTTCCCAAGTACTTTACATGGTGAAAAAACCGTAAGTTGAAGTTGTTTGAAGCAAAATACACAATCTGGTATAGTTTACAAAAATCTGTTTGCTTAGACTTCATACATGGAAAAGATACAGGTGTACAGTTTTTTTTGTGTACAACTGTGCAAACCTGTGCATAAGCCAACAGTTCAAACTTAAAAGAGGGAACAATAAAGTTTGACTTGGGTACAGTTTATTCTGATTAAATGGAGCCATCATATGAGGTATTTTCATGGAAAATGGACTTGGAAAACCTCAGCATGTTCTGAAAGATTAGTCTATTCATGTATAAGAATAAACCTGCCACAAGTTAGCAGAGTTACTTGAACAAAAGGATAGGTACAAAGCAAAATTTCCTTCTGAACTTGTTATCCTAAGCTCGTCCCAGTCTATCTTCCATCAAGCTGAGCTTCTGCTAAGCATGGTTTGTGGAAATTCATAGTATGTCTTGGAATTCTAAACCCTTTTCCTAATGGCTAACTGGATAAAAGACCAGAAAAAAGTGAAACAGAAGTATGCTGACTAAAGCTTATAACACACACACACACGGATAAATCAGTGGCCAGAGCATTCTTCTAGTGATTGTGAAGCTACTTAGAGTTTAGGGAAGATGGAGGTGATCTAACGGACTTCTGAAAACGTTCCTAGCCTTGGTCTGGAACTGTTCCCTTTTATGGAAAAACAGTGAAAGTTTTGACTCCTTTTTCCAACATGCAGCTTATGTCTGTTTTGACAACGTAGTCTAGGCTTACCTTTGGCTTGTTTAGCAGCTACACGATCTATATCAGACTACTGGGATATTGAGTTAAACCTATAGTTGTTACTAAAGAATTACTTTTTGAGAGGAGTGTAGGTTGTAGCCGTGTTGGTCTAAGGATGCACCAACTGCTGAAACTTCCTTAGCCTGACGAAGGGTTTTTGAACCCAAAAGCTTGCTTAATAATTGTTTTCCAACTATTTAAGTTGGGTGCAAAGAACCTTGTCTGCTTTTTGAGAGGATTTCTTAATCATCTATTTAATTTCCTTAGGTAGAATGTGGAAACATCTTTCCAGCTGTTGTAGCTTCACTGTTTCTTTCTCCTGGAGGTCCTAAGTTTATTCATCTGATGTATCACTTTGCAAGATATGTAATGATACAAGCAATGAGAAAAGACTGCAAAGGTAAGTTATAACTAGCTATGGGAATACATTGTTTTATGACATGAAATAGTGAAAGTACATATGGCTTTTAATCTGTTATAACAGGTTTAAATGGGCTTTAGTTAACCTAGTTAAAACTCTTCATCACAGGTTGGGAAGAACTAGGCTTAGATGTGGTCGTCTTTTTTGTTTTTTAGTCACTTTGGATTCGGGGAGTGGGGCGAGAGGGATTGACTCTTAAGGGAGCCAACCCTTGCATGTATAAGATAAGTTCTTGATCTCCAATGTTCTGCAGTGATACCTGGTTTGATCTTGTAGCAAGCAAAAAAATGGAAAAGTGGTGACCTAATGGTACAAATATTTAGACCCTTTCATACTTTTGAGATGTTGAGTTGGCAGGCAGTAATTCTGAAAGGTATTATATCTCTCAAGATATTCTATGAAACAAGTAGTGTTGATAAGAATGCTGTCTTTTATTTCAAGTAAGGCAAAAATACCTTCATGAATTAATGGACTGAACTACTGCCTTACTCTTCATCCTTTGTAACTACAGACTGTACCATGTTAGCTAAGCTGGTCTAAAATTAAACTGTTATTGTACGTGTCTGTGTGCGCATGTATACAGTGTGGGTGTAAAGGGTGGGTGGGTGTAGTGTGGGGGTAGTTGGGTGTGTATAGGTTGGGGGGGTGTATAGAGGGGTGTATAGGGTGGCGGCGTGTAGTGGGGGGATGCGTAGGGCATGTGTGTAGGGGTGTTTGTGTAGGGGTGTAGTGGGTGGTTTGTGGGTGGGGGGATGGGAGCTGCTGGGCAGCCATAGGAGGGTGCTGGTTGGGCCCAGAA